TGGCAGGCTGATAACCAGCCAAGGGGCGCCCAACCAGTTGACTGCTGTAGAGAGACACCAGCCCCACCTGTGACCCTGAAAGGATTCAATTGATCTAGAAAGTATATGGATGGGTGCATTGAATTGGGATGAATATGTTTCTATGGTTGAAAAACAGGATGGTAAAGCAGAGAGTTTCTTACTTTGTTCGGTTAAAACCACATCGAGGAATTTCTGCAGAAAAGGATAAAAAAAAAAAAAAAAAAACATCTTCTGTTAGTCGGTGAGAAACAAAGAAGACCAATTACAGAAATAGCTGACTCACCTCTGCTGCAGCCCTGGTGTGTGCAGTTAGAAGAAGGTTATGATCACGTTCTGTCTGAAAAAACTCATCTACATCCTGTGGATAGATTTTTAAAGCTTTTACACTTTCTACCACCTGTGCAGACATCCTGATGGTACAAGTCCATGTTGCAAACCTTATGTCCTTCTTTCCTCATTTCTTCCACAGCTTGACTCAGGCGGTTGAAGATGTTTCTCTTAGCTTTCTGTCTACCTGGGGGCTGGAAACAAGATCACATCAGCTCAAACAGAGATTACATTAAAATACTGATAATTCTTTGCATGTTCTGGGTTATGTCCATGCTGCAGGTTCAGCTTCTGATTGAATCAGTGTCAGGTTTTCTGATGAACTTTAAAATTAGTAGTGCTAGCTCTGTATGATGAGCAGACACTTACACCTCCATAGTTTATATGACGGTTGTTTTTCTTTTGAAATGCTCTTCGGTTCATATTAAAGAACATTATAAGGAGAGAAAATAATCCAATTGTAAACTGATATGTCCAAAGAACAATACTCCAGGAGCCCTATATGTTTAAGGCAGGGGTCACCAAAGTAGTCCCCATGGGTGCCAAGGCACCCTCCAGGACCACGTGGGGTGCCCTTATTGTCTTCTGAACACAATATTTCATTTTATTGTGTTCTTCCATTTTGATAATTTATAGAGCATTTTACCACATTAATCATACAGAGTATTCAATCCTTATAGATAATTCAAAATGACCACATTTAAATAAAAAATAGAAATGAAAAGAAACAGTAAAAAATGGTTTATTATGTATGAAGTTTGGGTGAATGCTGACTTGTACATGGGTAAGTATTGGTAGCCCTTCCTATCACTCAGTGCCAATGAAACAAGCCTCAGCCTTTTATCACCTGAAGAACATCTCCAGAATTGAAGGACTAATGTCTAATCAGGAACTAGAAAAACTCATTCATGTATTTATCTTTAGTAGAATTGATTACTGCAACAGTGTCTTCATAGGTTTGCCTAAAAAGTCAATCAGACAACTGTACCTGATCCCGGGTTCTCACTAAAACTAAGAAAGTAGAGCACATCAGCCCAGTTTTGCAGTCCTTCCACTGGCTCCCTGTAGCTCAGAGAATAGACTTTAAAATCCAAACTCCAAGAAGCCTGAGTTCTTTGATGTCAAAGTTAAAAACACACTCATTTAGAACTTCCTTTGACCGTTGAAGTTAAACTGATGACTAAGGTATCAGTTTAAGGTTGTGATCCAACTGTTTTCATTTCATCATTTTTTTTACTTGCTTTTTTTCTGCATTTTTGTGCTCCATATAATTTTCTTAGTTTTTTTGTTTTTGTTTTTTGATTTTATTCTGCTTCGATTCTATTAACGAATACATGTAAAGCACTTTGAATTGTCCATGTACTGAACTGTGCAATACAAATAAAATGGCCTTCCCTTGCCTCGGTAATAAAAGGTTGATGAGCCTGGGTCTCTCTGGCAAACCTCAATCTGGTCTGGATGTTTTTATTATAAAGCAAAGGTTTCTTCCTCTGGAAATTGTGCATCTAAATCTCAACATTTTAGGACTTTTGAAGACTTGTTGATTTTTATTCTCAGATTAAACTCACACCACCAGCCAGACCAGGGTCTTTTGGAGTTGCTCTATGTATCCTCCAGTTCTAGACTATTTTAATACAATTAAACCACCTACCTTCAATTGTTTGTGTTTGAGGTATTTATTAGCACTTATGAGACTCTTAAACTTAAGCAATCATCTCTCTGAGAGCCACAGAGAACTCTTTAGATCTTGTTAGATTAAAGGTGTATTTACAGAATAACTGATGAGTTATCATACTGATATAGTACATCCGTCTATTCTTTCTAGAAGACTCCCAGGTGCATTTTCTTCCATTTTATTACTCAGTTTTATAATTTGACCTTCTTAGATTTACTATGATTTAAATTGAATATCCATTTCTTCAAATGTATTAGACAAATACAAGCTCTGCTGTGCAGCGTTATAATTTCCCCCATAACTGATTTCAGCTTAGTAAAGGGCTGCAGTACAAGTGATGAGGAATTCTGTGTTGTGGAGCAGGAAGGGGGCGGTCCAGACCTTAGCGGAATGTCTCTGAGGCAGCGTTGCATAAAAGATTCCAAAGAACCCACACAAGCAAAAAGATGACACAATAAAACCTTGACTTATTCTGAGATTGCCATGGGTCACATGGCAATCTCTATTGTCAAACAACCTTGGTGAAAGTTTAACCATTTAACGTGAGTCTGTCTCATATAAAGCTTTTCCATCACACTCTGTTAACCAGCAATGGTTATTGGCATTTAAATTGGCTGTAGCTACCTACTTCAGTGTTTGTCAGGAAGATCTCCACTGCTTTATTTTTGCTGAGTATGCTGTGAGCAGCAACCTGCCTGAGGAACGTTTCCAGGGCTTTACAGTACGGCTGCCACTCTCCTAAACAGAGGAAACCTGCAGTGAAAAAAAAAAAAACATTTAATCCACTCAAAAAACTGGTAATTCATGAAATCACCTTGCTGTTTTTGCGTTGAGCTGATGTTAATGCAAACTTACCAAGCTGCTTCATCGTTTTAGCAGATGCAGTCACCTGAGGCCTCAATGGAAGAGGAGGAAACTTTAAATAACAGAGAGAGAAACATTTAACCTGTTTTGTTCCCATTTCTTCCAAACACAGCTAGATTTAGCTGCTGTTAGACATATCAAACAGGAAAATATATACTCTGAATTTCTTTTATAAACTGACAAAACTTCATGACGTGTTTTTTGCAGTTTTGAAAGCAAACTTTGTGAAAAACATTAGTGGCTCAATAGTAGTTCAAATCATTAAGGCTATGTGCATAGTATTTGTAATCATGCTCATTTAAACTTATCAAGAGAAATATTTTACAGGCTAACTGGTATTTAACTAATTTGTACAGCTTTATCTATATATTCACTTTCGATTGAACAACAAAAAGCATCTCAGAAGGTATAACTTTGCAATTTAAATGAGTAGGAAAAAACAGCAAGTATCTACTATGACTCCTTGTATCCCTGGCACATCCTCCTGAGCGTAGAGATGCTGCTGCAGCCATTCAAAGTCATCGTACGTCCGGTGCACATGGTACTCTCCTGTCCCAGACAGCTTGAACAGAGAGTGGGTCATAGCATTTAGTTAGTGCATTTAACACCACTTATAAAAGCAATCAGATGGTGAAGTTTATGTTGAAACAACAAACAAAGACCTGATCGACACACATTATGCAGCCAATACAGTCCAAAAACTACTAGCATTTTCCTACCTTTTGAGAAACAATTATAAAGGTAAGGGTTTCCCCCTCCTGCAGCACTTCTGTAACTTTGATTGTATTTCCATAGACGCTCAAAAGAGAAGGCGCCTCAGTCACCTCTTCCTATGTGAAAAAAAAAGGAAATTTCATGGGACTTGCAGTGAATTTTACTCAGAATAAGATTAATACTTATATTCAACTTTTGTTTTAATAAAAATAAATATCCCTACAATGAAGAAACTGATGTTTGAATGAAGCAAAACACTATCACATGACACTCGCAAGTTAGCCCTCCCATAAAAACATCCCATGTTCACTTACCATCATTTTAAAACCTTTAATTTAATGCCTCAAAGTCCAGCTTTTTTTCTGCTTTCGTAAAAAGATTCTGTCTTCCTTTCAACAGGAAAGCCTAAAAACTGAGCGGATCCTTTGGCTGCTTGCTTTTTTCTGTCCTCTGCTGCTGAGAAGGAACAGGATATCCTCTGGGTCAAAGTGCAAACTGGGCCTAAGAGACACGAGAAAAGTAAAACTGTGGCAAATCTAAAAATGCTGTCGCAGGGAAACAGATGAGTAAACGGTGTGTTAGGCTTTAACTCGGGACTGTTGGCACGCCCACACAGGAAAACGGCCCTAACGGTCCCTTCTCTTATCTACCCGTCAGTTTAACAGCCCACCAAATTTGCAAGACATTTTATTAGAATAAGAGGGAAAAGTGCCACCAACTGACATGTTATTCCTCTTAGTTATTCCTGTTTAACTCTTTTAAATGTTACCAAATGACAACCACAAACTTCAATGTATTTTAACATACATGGTGTATTGTTTTACATGTTGTTTTTTTTACAAAAACACCCTTTTGTATTCAGCTTGAGCCAATAGTTTATTAGTTAGAGACATGTTTAACAGCAGTTCATAGCTGCAAATATTTTAAGATGGGTTCCTAACCAGTTTGCAAATCTTTAAATATTTGGAAAATACCTTGAGCACTGATTACGTGATGTGAAAGATTCTCTATTGAATTTCTGCCTGGAATTAGAATGGGCCATCCAGTTATCTTTCTACCCCTTTAAGCAAAAAGTAAGTTCATTTTCACATCAGCAGCTTAGCCAGAGGCATCTTAATCAAGAATACATAAATAGGGAGTGGCGGCATAGTGGTTAGGGCATTGCACTTGGAATCCTGAGGTTCTGAGTTCAAGCCCCATTTCCACAGACTACTGCCACTCTGAATCCCTGAGCAAAGACCCTTAACCCCATACTGCTCCCTTATTGCCGCACAATGGCTGCCCACTGCTCCCCAAGGGGATAAGTTAAATAAAGAGTGTTCTTTTCATTGCTCTGTACTTGTGACGGTGGACAGACAATAAAGAATGAATACAGGAAACATCTTCTTTGAAAAACTTTATTATAAATGAAAGATGACATACTAAAACACAACATAAAGGAAAATAGAGATTAATAGTAATGCTCCTCATCATTTTCATCATCAAAATAAAAGCTGAATGTTGACTCTTCAAAACTGTAATGTTTGTTCTGAAAATCCTCTTCTTCCACTTCCTGGAGAAAGCTCCAGTGGAAGCGTGGTTCATCCAAAAACGGACTGTCATGGAAATCCTGGAAGATGTCTGAGAAACTGAAGTGGAAGCTGGTCTCATCATCGTCGTCCTCGGCCTCAAGGGAGGCCTGGTTTTCTAGGAAAGCTTCATGGCCCACGTTGTCATAGAGACGCCTTTTCTTCTTATCAGAGAGCACGGCATAGGCTAGCCAAGAACAAAACAGGGGAAAAAGTTTTTTTTTAAACTTCTGGCAATATGAAAGGTCATGCAGTATTATAATATAAAGGCATAATCTGAAGGCATAGTCCAAGTAAGCTGCTGCTTTGCCCCTTTAAGCCAGCAGGGGGCCCCCAAGAGCAACATATGGACTAAATATTGATCTCAAAATTTCTGCATCTTTTGTTTCACTAAACACAAACAGTGACAAAACAATTTGTAAACATTCAGAGGAAAATATTAATAAATGCATAACCATATGAAAGTCAAAATGCACAAATCCAAATTTATATTATAATCTAGGGTTTTGGTAAGACTTTGGGCAAAACATATGTTTGATTTTCAATGGCTATACTATAAAAAGAATAAAAACTACGTAAATATAAAGATGCATAAACTGCTTACTGTACATTTTGTCATTTGACAGGCTTCCAAAAAGTCCAAAAAGTGAGTCCAACCATGCTGCTTGTTTCAGGATGTTTATCTGAACAAAAACTGTTTTTTTTTCTATCATAATTTTTAATCTTTCTTATCTGCTCAAAATGTATTTTTTACATCAACATTTCATCAGCATTAGTAAATATTTGCACAGTTTTGTATTTCTGTTTTTTAATCTGCTCTTGAAATGTTTTATTTTTCCTACACTCATGCTTGGTCGCAGTTTTTCTACAAATCATCCTTATTTCACAATTTTGCCATCGTTCTGTTTCTTTATAACTTGTACATTTCTCATTTTAGCTTTAATATGCCATGTTATTAATAACCTCAGTGTTGTTGTTTTGTTTTTTTTTTCTCCTTTCTATGGTATGATTTCGAAATAAGACTTTAGTTTTGGGGGTTTGTTTTGTTATTTTTAATACTATTTAGTCATGTGTGTACTTTAAGCTTTTCTTCAGTCTACATGATTTCCTTTGTCCCACCTAACTGAGCGCACTGTTCATACTAAAGGTATATGTTACTCTACTTTAGTTTTTGTCTTTCTGCTTGTTAAACATGGCAGTTGCAAAGTTGTTTGCTGAGTTTTTTGTTACAGCCATGCATCAGTTCATAGCCACAAGCACGACCTGCTTTTGCTTAATTCAGTTCAGTTTATTTATATAGCACCAATTCAGAACACGTCATCTCAAGGCACTTTACAATTGATTGACCAGGGATCAAGACACATTATATGCAGCTACGTTATTATTATGTGTTATGTATTAACACAACCATAACAATCCCTTTCTGCAAAGAGGAACAAACTGCAATGCAACAGTTTCAGTGCATTGATCTCTTGCAATTAAGGGGACATGTAGGTACAAAATGGCAACATGTACCAATGCTTGCAGTCATTTATCCTAAAAAAACAAAACAAACACACAAAAAAAAACAGCAGCAAGCTTATTATGATCGTTTTAATAGTTTGATAATTTTCATGCTCTTTGTGCCGGACTCACATTTAGGATGTTAAAAATGTTACTTCTTCGAACTGATTTGAGTTTGCGTTAAACATTCTCCTCTAGACATGATTGACAGACTGAATTATCAGGTCAGAGAAACAAATAATTTATTTATATCCATTTAAACAATAAATATGAAGTGGGATTAGTGCCACAAATCAAATTATTATGCATAACTATTCTGTTTTGATTACATATAAGTTACTTTATTGGAGAAAACCATCAAACATGATGAAATGAAATGCCAGTATGTTGCAGCATTGTTTACCTTCTGCAATCTCCCTGAAGGTGGTTTCAGCTTGGGCGCTCTTGTTCTTATCAGGGTGGTACCTCACTGCCAGGCTACGAAAAGACTTTTTAATCTGGCTGTCCGTGGCTGTTGGCTCAACATTCAGAGTATCATAGTAACTCCTGACTGTCTTTGAGGCTTGCTGGTCTTCAGTCAGACAGAGGAGCACCAGGACCAAACAGGCTGCCATCCTCCTGAATGCACCTTGTGCTGCCATGTTGAGAACCTGAAACACAGCGGAGACACTCCAGTGTTTATCTAGAGCTCAGAGCATTTGCTTCCTGGCTTTTTGACAGACTCATTTCCATATGGAGACAAAGCTATCTAACTGACTCATGAGCAGCAGAGGAGGGTGTTTACGAGTATTTTAACTCACCAAAACCGCGCCAAAGAAAGTTAAACCCTTGTAACGTAGCTAACAGCTGGTTCTGAAATACGTAAAGGCATCTTCATACCAAGCATGAGTTATTTCCTTGATACATGCGAGCACACTGCAGGACTATTATGTGGTGAAGAAATGTTGCTACACACTCATGTACAGTAGGTGGCGGTATGCACCTTAAAGTTGCTTGCGATCCGCCATAATAGAACAGAAGAAGAAGAAGATTATTTTTATTTTATTTTTTAAGAAAGCAATAATTTAACAAAACAAAAAACACAGTTAAAAACTCGGGTCAACAATACATTATTACATTAGCAGCTTGTTATATTTTAGCTCCCCCTCATCAGAAAACCCCCACAGTTGTAAAAAAAAAAAAAAAAAAAAAAAAAACTTCATAGAAGACTTTTAACTTTTGACAACACTTTATTTACGCAAACATATAAACAATTGACGTAAAACAAGTGTCAGTTAAAATCATTAAATGAGGAGCTTGTTAAAATGTAGTTCTCCATCATCTGACACAGTACATAAAATGTTGTTAAAACCCCACAAAATAAAAAATAAAAAAACTTCATTTTCCAAGGAGAAGAAGACTTGTATGTGTCCGTTTACTTATCGGACGCTAGAGGGCAGAAGACAACCAACTGGGAAAAAGTCTTCTTCGTTGGTAATTAAAGATGCGAGGAGGTAAACAGCAGCTTTGGCCAGGCCGTGAGCTATTTCTATATATATCCCAGGCATCTTGTTGATAGGTGTATTATTGTTGGACGGATCGCGGAGCTTTTGGAGGCCATTTGGGCTGTTAGCGACTCGGCTGTTGTTTCTGTCTGGTGAGAACATTTAAGGAATTAGCTAGTTAGCGAAGTTTGCTAGTGGTTAGCTCTTCGACGAGGTCGCCTCACCCTATTAGAATGGCTCCCTTCAAGATCTGATAGAATTTCTCTTTCTTTATAGAAGAAAAAAAATGTTTTTCAGCTATAAACAAATAAGCTGTCATTCTGTGTTATTTCACCAGGCCAGTGGCCTCTGGTCACCATTAGCTAGTAACAACAATGGTGCTAACAATAATTTTCTGTTTGTCACGTGTGTTTCATCTATAGTCTTATTATTTGCTTTTGTCTAAATCACACATGCTGAAATTTTTTCAAGAAAAGTTAACAAATTAATATAATTTTAACAAAGGACAAGGTCAGGCAAGTCATACAACTCATCAAAAGTCTTCTTATTAATATAGCTTAGCATAGAAAGTTGTTAAAAGGTTTACTAAAATACCCTTAATCATTTAAAGCAGTGGGATTGCTGAGATTATGGTAATGTTTACTAAATGAAGCAATATGAACTCAATTAATCCCTAATAACAAAACAATAATATAAATGTTAACTTGGAAGTTTTTTTTATTATTATTGATATTAACATTTGACTTTCTTATCATGGTTGATTCGGGTTTCCCCTTTAGTATTACCCTTTTCTATGCCTGTAACAATATGGACTTGTTCTTATAAAAGTAAGTTTAATTTGGTTAATACATCAAGAACCCTTTTAGTTAAAATAACAGTATAAAATAACAAGTACATTTGGTTTAAAACTAACAACTTTTTAGTTGATTCTCCATTAACCTGTGGTTAATCCAGGTCACAAATTGCATGTTACTTGGAAGCAAAGCTGTTAGTTTGCTCCAGATTACACCATAATGTTTGCATGTGACAAAGAATTTAAGCTGAATTGTTCACTGTTTTAAAGATCAAATACTTATGGTTTACTGATTAAGTGGTTAACATAAACTACATTTCCAAAAGTTCTGCTCAGCTGCCTATAAAATATTCATAACTTTTAGTGATTTCTACTTAGTCCATAGACAAGGGGTCACTATTGCTTTAACAGAATTTTGCTGATATAATTGATCTCAGTATTTCATTTATTTAAAATAAATAAATATATATATATATATATATGCTGTTTTGGATGGATTTTTTTATACAATTTCTACATCCAACATCAAATTGAAAATACACACTGACAATATTAAAACATTTACAATGATTTAAGAAACAGTAATTAAAAATTAAAACAAGTTCTTTACTCTTTTCTGTTGACTTTAAGTAGATCAATTTCTGATTTTAGGTCACAATCTCATTCAAGTTGGTTTCCACAATGCTTATTATTTATGCTAGATTTTGTATAATTAGAACCTTTATTTGGCTTCTTTAACATTAACATTTTTAAAACAGTTTGTGAATCTGTTTATTCTAATTGTTGTTTGTTTTTTAAAATTTGTCTTTCAGATGTGCAAAAAAACTGGATTGATTACCTTTGACATAAAAAAAGAAAGCATTCCATGACCCCCTGACCTGTGTATGATATATCTGTGAGGTCAAGTCAGCCAGCCCAGCCCACACATGAGTCCAATATTCTCTCAGAGCAGGGCCAAGCGCCATGCCTGACCGGGACAATTCCTACCTGGCAGGTGGCAGTGGGAGCGGCGGTACTCTGGGGGAAGAAGGAGGACCTGGGTCCGGTTTGGTGGGGGGCTCGGCGGACGGCAGAGGTGGTTCTGGGGGAGGTGGGAACGTCTCTGGCTCTGGGGGCATGGGTGGAGGAGGGGCGCCCGGAAACAGTAATGGATTTGGGAACGGTGGAGGAGGGGGGGCAGGTGCAGGACTGGCTCTGGATGGCGTTTGCAGGGACTTCATCCGCAATGTCTGCAAGAGAGGGAAGCGCTGCCGCTTTAAACACCCAGACTTCAATGAGGTACCAGATCTGGGAGTGCAAAAGAACGAGTTCATCTTCTGTCATGACTACCAGAATAAGGACTGCATGCGCACTAACTGCCGCTTTGTGCACGGATCAAAGGAGGATGAGGACTACTACAAGAAAACAGGAGAGCTGCCCCCCAGGCTGCGAGGGAAGGTTGCAGCGCGACTTGGCCTGTCTCTGATGGATCTTCCTCTGAGCCGAGGGGAGGTGCCAATCTGTAGAGACTTCCTTAAGGGAGAGTGCCAGAGAGGAAACAAATGTAAATTTCGCCATGTCAAAAAGGACTATGAATACGAACCCTCAAGAGCTGGTGTGGGCGGTGTCGTGGGACAGGGAGCCATTGGGATGGTGAACACTGGGGGAGGGATGAGCGGAGGAGGCACCTGTGGAGGAATCCAAGGACTTGTGGGAGGTGCAGGTAACATGATGGGGACCGGCTGCCCCAGCCTCGGTAGCTGCAGAGATGTAGGTCTCTCAGGGGTTGGGGGACTCGGTGGAGGAGGAATCAGTGGTTGTCTGTCCATCGGTTCTTCGGGACAGCGGCGGTATGACAGGAGCTCTGTGTACGATCCCCTGCTTGAAAATGGGCTGTTTGACACTAGCTCTTTAGAGGCTTCTATGGATCACACCGCTCTACAGCTGAAGAGGCGGCGATTGGAAGGTCTTCGTTTAACCGATGGAAGTGGAGGTGGTCATTACGAGTTGGGGGTTCAAGCTGCGCTGCCACCTCGTCCTTTGGAGTACAGATTCCTGGAAGAAGAAAATTCACTGCTGAGGAAGAGAGTGGAAGAGTTAAAGAAGCAGGTTAAGCGCATTTTATATACTCTCTTGTATATCTGTATTTATGCACAATCAAATCATTTTTTTTCTTTACTTTTTTTTTCCAAATAGAAATTCTTGTCATGAAAAATGAAGTTAATCTGATGTTAATTAGCCTGCAACCTGTTTAAGCGTAAACCTGAGAATCTAAAGCAATGGTGATGAGTCCCACAAACCGTCATTAGCTTTACCTAAAACGCTCTCAATAGAATCAGTAACTGCTTTATTAGAAATGGTATCATGAATTCAGGATTTCTCTGGGAATTTATCTTTGCTTGACAGGAACAGAAGCATGTTTAGTCTGAAATGTATCTATATATTTCCACAAATATTTTTGTTGTTCTCCCTCTGACAGACCAGAACAACTAAACTGTCTTTTGGGCACTTTCTAAGAATTTTTTTTTCCAACACCTGGGGGGATTTTTTCTTTTTATATTTTCAAGAAACATTTTATTCAGTTACGTCTCCTTTAAATGCAGTATTTAAAATCAGTGTTTGGTTTTCAAAGGTTTTGGTGAGGGGTCTGCCATCTTAATTGTTTAAAGAGTCACTTTGGCTCGTAGTCAAGCAAAATCGAACAGCTTTGAGCCACTAATGTTGCATGGCTTTGTCAAAGAGAGCAGCTTTTATTTTTTTATTTTTTTATTAATATCTAGAAAAGGAAACTGTCATTTCTAAAGAGATAGTAATTATTGATTTTTAGGTTTTAGACAGAGGGGAAAATAATCAGCAGAGAGGATTATTACATTTTCCTCTTTGGGGTCTTAAAATTCTTGATTAAACATTATATATTACTGTAAAAAAATTTCCAACATAATTTTGGAAATAGAAATATAATGACCTCAATTTAGAGAACAAAAAAATAGAAATACCAGGCCTGAAGTTAATATAGAAAGCATTTATTACTGAATGCAACAGCTCCATCTAGCTGTAACATAGCTTAGTTACACACTTTTTAGTTTCTATTTATTTTTGTTGTTTTATGATTTTTAGGTAATCAGGTAGAACTTACAGGAAAAAGACAAACCTTTTAATGCATAAAACATAAACCATAAGATCAATGCCTGATCAGTCATGTTCTGTTTTCTCCTCAGGTCTCCAATCTCATTGCCACCAACGAGGTCCTCCTGGAGCAGAACGCCCAGTTTCGTAGCCAAGCCAAGGTGATGACGCTGTCCTCCACGCCTGCTCCCTCCGAGCAGAATCTGGCGCCCCCTGTGGGTGCAGTGAGCTCCTACAACCACAGCATCGCCCAGACCCACACCACCCTCAGCAGCGCAGGACTGCAGCCCCGGCCTGTCACTCAGCAGGACCTGGTGGCTCCCACCGGTGCCCCCGCTGCTCCGCCTACCAATGCAGCCCCACCCACAGCTCCCCCACCTCACCTCAACCCCGCTGAGATTACCCCTCTCTCAGCTGCCCTCGCACAGACCATCGCCCAGGGAATGGCACCACCCGTCTCCATGGCCCAGGTGGCGGTGTCCGTGGCGCCGGTGGCCGTGTCCATGACGCAGCCTCTGCCTGGGATCACCATGAGTCACGCTACCACCCCAATGGTGTCGTACCCCATCGCGAGTCAAAGCATGAGAATCACAACCCTGCCTCACTGAATAACTGCTGGATTCTTCAGTTAGACTTTAGTGTCCTGGAGGGGAGTTTTTAACATAGAGACTTTTATTTAAAGTTTAGGACTAATATAATAAACAAAACAATGAAATGTTATTCCCCCACACCAGGATACTTTGAAGACTTGGGTTGCATGGCAACATTATAAATATCAGCTTCCAGGAGACTGATTGATCTGTTAAGTGTCTGGAACGTGTATTTACCTAGAGGGGATTTTTCACCCAGACATAAACTCAAAGTGTGAAGTTTCCCTCCCTTAAAGATTCCAGATTCTCCGTGGCTGCACATGAAGACAGAGGAAATCCATTTGTGTTTATATTTTTGTGGATTGATTTGTTGTAAATTAATTTTGGTACTTTAACAGCCATGATGAGTCCTGTTTTATGTCCCTGTTTCAATATATATATATGTTTTATGCCTACACTTGAACTGGTAGGTGGAGATACTTAAGTCAACTGTAGGCAGACATGGTTTCAAGTGGTTAAAGCCTTCAACATCCTGTTGGTTCAGATGTTTGGGTGGAGTTATGCTGTGTAAACTTGAACTTAATCTGTTTCTTCAGGAGCCTCAGATATGTCCCGCCTCAAACAGCTGTAACATTTGGCACCGTCTGTCTGTTTTCATCACCATGAGAAATTGTGATGTCCATCAGACAGTAGCTTGCTTTTTGGCATTTTCATTTGTATTTTTTTTATGTTATTTTTGTGAATTGTGAACTCGGTAGTGAGTTTTTCTATGTCACTCTTAAGATTTGGAGTTTGATTTGTATGGACCTTATGTTTGGAAGTTTTTTTTTTTTTATGTATATAGTTAAAACGTGACTTAAAGCCCTTACAGAATTTGAGTCACTGAATCTGTTCGGTCTCAGAATCAGTTGGGTTTTAATAAACATGCTCAGCTTAATGTCTTGAGTTGAGCTAGAAGATTGTAGAATGACTACAGGTATCTGTTTGTTTTTTTGGGTGAAAATATTCCAACTTTGTTATGTTACTGTTGTCAGGGTTGGCCTGAATTATAAACACACTTTGGCTGCTTAAAGCCCCAAAAGAGCTGGAATCCAAAGACAAAATGCTGACAAAATTGGTTGTAATCAGTGGGTAAACAGTTGGTGGTTTGAAAAATATATCAACTGAAATTAGATTTAAAAAAAATATATCTGGCCCTTTTTTGGGCATACAGCTAAAAATAGATTTTTATTTTTTTTTTTAACCAGGGTCGCTTGTGAGCACAGCATTAAATTTGGTCCTTCCTTCCTGAAACGGCCCGTATCTAATGCCTGCTCACCAGATGGGACTCCCAGAGAGTATGGGAAGTCAGTCCCTGTTTATTCACATTAGAATAAAAAACTCACTGGAATCGAGCCTCAGCATCTAGTTTTTGTATCTTATTTTTAGTAAGGAGCTCCAAAGATGCAGGAAAGGTTTTTCTATCAGAACGACTAGGCTGCATTTTAAAGTGAAAAACGACACAGATCAGTGCATAGTTGTGTAGTGAAAGGAAATGATACAATGCATCCTTAAGGGTTGGTTACTTCCCAAGTATGCAGTGTAGGTATTCATCCCCTTCATTGTTATGTGCAGCTGGTAGTGCTTTAACGTTATTTAATCTCTGTTTGTTGTCTGAATGTATCAAAGGTTTCAATACCTGTAGAGAACAGCCAAGACAGGCCGGACTGAACATTTAAGAGAAATGAGTAATAGAAAGTACGAGATGACTATAAACCTACCGAGTATACAAATAAAAATTAAAACTCTGAATTACTAGTTGAAAACTCAGGGCAATACAACTAAACTCCAACAGCTACAAGATGGCTCATGGTATCAACAATAGTAGAACTTTCTGACTTTTAACTTTTTTATCAGTCCTTTTTATTTTTTACATATAGTTATTTGTGTACTTACTACTTTTAAATGTTTATAAAACAAGCGCTTTCCAAACTTTTTGTATGCAAAAAATACAGAGAACAGTGTTTTGGGATTTGTTTGTCTTTGTTATGGTACACCAGTCTCAGTGGCCAATAATATAAGAGTGTCCAAAAGTGGGAAACTGGAAAGCTATATCACCTTGGCGATGATGTCACTCTGACTTATCAGGTCAACAGTAATGAAACGCAGGATAATAATGAGAAACACAGCCAAGAGGCCCCAGTAGCGGTTCTAGACTAAACAGGAGGGTCAAGATGGGGACAGTTTATTTATTTGTATGTTTTTCCTTCTTAGGGGAAAAATTAAACTAAAATAAAATAACAGTGCAACAGTTAATCCTTTAATATGAGTTTTAGATGCATATTCAAACTGGAAGACTCATCCCAGCATTACCTGCATTCAGTCACCTCATCAGGCGCCAACGCTCCAGCCAATAGGCCTTAAGTCCTTATCCCTCTTCAGGCAACCATCCTGTAAGGTTCTGCCTAAGGCTGAATCCCAAACCAATTCCTAAGCACTAGAATAAGATTGCGGAGAATGGACGATTTCAGACCTTGGGGGACCTGCGGAGGCAGTGGACTGAGTCTGGAGTAAAAACATCCAGAGCCACCGTGCACAGGCGTGTGCAGGAAATGGGCTACAGGTGCCGCATTCCCCAGGTCAAGCCACTTTTGAACCAGAAACAGCAGCAGAGGCGCCTGACCTGGGCTGCAGAGAAGCAGCACTGGACTGTTGCTTAGTTTTGCATGTCACTTTGAAATCAAGGTGCCAGAGTTTGGAGGGAGACTGGGGAGAAGGAAATGCCAAAATGCCAGAAGTCCAGTGTCAAGTACCAATAGTCAGTGATGGTCTGGGGTGCCATGTTAGCTGCTGGTGTTGGTCCACTGTGTTTTATCAAGGGCAGGGTCAATGCAGCTAGCTATCAGGAGATTTTTGGAGCACTGCATGCTTCCATCTGGTTAAAAGCTTTATGGAGATGAAGATTTCATTTTTCAGCACGACCTGGCACCTGCTCACAGTGCAAAAACCACTGGTAAATGGTTTACTGACCATGGTATCAATGTGCTCAATTGGCCTGCCAACTCTACTGACCTGAACCCCATAGAGAGTCTGAGGGATATTGTGAAGAGAAAGTTGAGAGATGCAAGACCCAACACTGTGGATGAGCTAAAGGCGGCTATCGAAGCATCCTGGGCCTTCATAATACCTCAGCCGTGCCACAGGCTGATTGCCTCCATGCCACGTTGCATTGAAGCAGTCATTTCTGCAAAAGGATTCCCCAACAAGTATTGAGTGCATAACTGTACATAATTATTTAAAGATTGACTTTTTTGTATTAAGAACACTTTTCTTTTATTGGTCAGATGAAATATAGTAATTTTGTGATTTAGGAATTTTGGATTTTCATGAGCTGTATGTCAAAATCATCCGTATTAAGACAATAAAAGACCTGAAATATTTTAGTAAGTGTGCTATGAATCTAAAATATATGAATGTTCAAATTTTATCATTACATTATGGAAAATATTGAACTTTATCAAAATATGCTAATATTTTGAGAAGGACCTATAGAGGTTCAATTTTCAGTCCCACTGAAAACATAGTGGACACAGCAAACACAGAAAGAGACTAGAAAGAGCTCTAGTCAGACTACAACATGAATATTTTCACTACAGTAAAAGCAAAAGTGTGAGGGGGAAATCTAAAACCCCCCATGAAGGATGGTATCGGTAGCCTCATGATGTGGGATTGTTTTACTTTAACAGGAGCAGGAAAGCTGATCAAGAGATGATGGGAATATGAATTTAAAAAGTTTGAGGTTTCAAAAATATTAACAATGATGGGAAAGTTCTTAAATGACACTAAACACACCCAGAGCAACAATGGAATCCTTCAGATCATAAGTTAAAAGGATAGATAGAGATTCAAATCCTAGACTAACATTTTTTAACTGTTTAACTAATGATGATGATTCAATGTGGCAAATAAAAAAACATTTAGATTTGTTGGTCCAACCTAAGTCTAATTAAGGAATGGGTGGGACTTCAAAGACACTGCAAAAAAGGAAGGACTTATAGAGTCATAACCTTGAAGACTGAAGGGTGGTATTGCCTGGGGATGGGGGTGTTTTTTTAATTTGTGAGACAGCCCCTTTTCACGTAGTCACAAAAAAAAAAAAGTCAAAATTAAATTAATTGCACTAGATTTATGGTTGTTACATAAAATGGGCAAAAGGTCTCTGACAATGATTCATTTTGCAACACACTGTGGAGGCTTTTGGGCAGGGGCGGAGCTAGATGGGGGCTAAGGGTGGCCATGGCCACCCCTACCATTTTTTTCCCAGTAATACTCTAATGGAGGAATGTCAAACTTATTGAAGAATAAAATTGTTTATATATTTACAACTCCTTGACAACAGAAACAATGTGGTTAATTATGCACATCAATATACAAACATTAAATATGTAAGATAAAGAATTCATGCTCTTTTCAGAACTAAATTATGAATTATTTGGGGTAAAGATAAAATTATATTAATCATATTATCTTCAGTGAAATCATAGATAAATAACTACTTTAATAAAACCTTAAAAATTCATTAAATGTGGATATTAGTAGATTTATATATCATTTATTTGCAGAATGATTATTGATAAAAGTAAGTAACGACAATGTAAAGTATGTTCGCCCCAGAACTCAAACCTGAAAGAATTTTGTCCACTTTACCTTTTATTTACACAGCATAGGTGTTAAATATATTTGTCTATTTGTTAGCAAAGGCTGCAGGAAAGTATGGTTTGTCTTTATTTAGAAAATATGGATGTCAGAATTCTGAGATTAAAGTCGGAATTCTGAGATTAAAGTCAGAATTATAAGATTAAAGTCAGAATTGTATGATTAAAGTCAGAATTGTGAGATTAAATTCAGAATTCATAGAAAAAAAAGTCAGAATTTTGAGAAAAAAAGTCAGATTTCTGAGATTAAAGTCGGAATTCTGGGATTAGAGTCAGAATTCTGAGGAAAAGTAAAAAATTCTGAGATTAAAGTCAGAATTCTGAGATTAAAGTCAGAATTCTTATAAAAAAGTAACAATTCTGAGAAAAAAGTCAGAATTCTGAAATTAAGGTCAGAATTCTGACTTTTTCCCCATAATAAACTGAAATTATATTTAAAAGTCAATTAACTTTTTTTTTAATTTTTTCAGTGGCCCTAATTATCTGCGTTATAGGCCAATGGTGAAGTAGACAGTGTGACGCAGAACCGAAAAACTCATGGATGCATTTTTTTCCCCCTGTGGTGGCAGTGGGCGTGTTTTCATCCAGCTAACGGACCGCTGGTGAGGCACAAACTTGGTTCTCTTCTCTGGTGTTCCTTCAGACCTACTGCGCTATTTAACTTCCATTACAGCATGTTTGAACACTAATGCTCTCATTTCACTAGCAGCGGAATCTGAAGTTCACGCGCAGCCGTCCGTTTGTTCCACCGCGTGCTGATGTTGATATGGACCTGTAGCCTTTAGGTGCGTCTATACACCGATCACTACGACCGCATCACCCTTATTAAACTGCGTTAAATATAAAAACCAGAGAAATGCAAAGTGAAAAGTCGGAGCCGACCGAAGCCAAGGGCGCAGAGGGTCCGGACAGAAGCGGCGCTGAGGAGAATGCGTTAAGTAACCTGAGAGCCGCAGAAGCCTCCAAACCCAAAGGAATCAGCGCCGTGGCTGTGCTGTGGACCTTCGGGAAATGTCTCAGCGCTTTGCTCCCCGTCTATCTGGCCGGCTACTATCGGGTCAGCACCAGCCTGCTCGTGTGCGGCATGATGGTCTACACGGGATGGAAACATGCCCGAGAGGCGAAGGAGGAGCGCCTCAAGTCGGCCATACAGCTGCTGGACAACGAGGAGGAGCACACATGGAAGAGAGCGTCCACGATCAAGAGAGACCTCCCTGCGTGGGTAGGGACCAACACCCATACCTCTGAAATATAAAGATTAAAAAATGCCTGGTATCAGTAATACATCCTCTGGAGATTACACCCCATTCATGCCAATTCAATTATTACAGCTGACTAACCAAACCAATGCCTGTTATTTGGATGATTTTGGTCTCAAATCCTCCAACCATCTTTAGAATATATATATTTTTTCATTTGCTTAAATACCATTCCTTTTTGCAAGGCTTTTATTTAAAATAAATCAAATCAGTTAAAACACAGTGTTGCTCACTTAGGTATATGTAAGGTACTGATTTTTTTTTATTTGTTTTCCTATTTTGTCATAAATTGGTGCAATCAGATCAAATCTAACATTCCAAAAATTACTGGAGTAAATTGGACCATGTGCATTCAAATGTGTTTTGGTTTTTTGTTGTTATAAATGCAGCTTGAATGATGAGATTCCATTGCTAAAGATCATCCCATACAACACAAATAGAAGTTGAATTATTTAGAATATATTGGTTGAAATCATTTGAAAGTCACTTTTCCACCATAGTGGTAACTAATAGCAACGGATCAGTTGTCGTCATTAACTAGTTAGTGTTGAATACACTATTTAAAAGGTTTTGTGTTTGTCAAATCCAGCAGTGAGAGTTAATACTTATTTTCACTAAAAAAAAACAACAACAACCACTTAATAGCATGTTCAAACACTGATCGTTTGCAGCTGAAATCAAACTTGGCTTAGAGATCTATGCTGCAGGCCATGCGGGCTCATACATGCTGCATGGTTCTGAAGTGCTCAGAAAAAAAAACTACCATGCAGAAGCCACATGTGCCTGATTTGACTGAAAGCATCGTGCTGCACCCAAATGAGGTGGCTGTGGGTATCTTTTGTGATTTCCGTGATTGCTTGCATAACCTGGCAGCACGCAACCTTCCTCTAAAGCAGTTAAAACTAAGCACCAGTCTGGATCGATTTCCACTCAACTTACATTGTAAATTCAGAGTCCCCTTTAAAACAAAAAAAACACAATAAAATATTGATAGCAAAAACTCTTGATACATTTAGATCGATGAGCAATCCTCCAGTTTTTTATGTAAAGTTATCTTTATCCTGAGACCTGCTTTGTTGGAGTTCTTCCCTCTGTTTTAAAATGATTTGTTTCAGGCGTGTCTGGTGGTACCTGGTGAGATTTCCAGGTATTCTTTCTGTCTGATTGTTTCTCCATGCTGTTATGTGTTTTATTATGCTCCAGACAGTTAAAGTATTTCATTGCATTGTTTTTTAGGTAAACTTTCCAGACGTGGAGAAGGTTGAATGGCTGAATAAGGTGAGACTTTGCATGATCTGTTCTATTTCCAATCTTCAATTTAATACTTTCAGTTCCTTATACGTGCAAACAGCATTTTTGTCCATCCAATAGACCAGCTGCAGTGTTGATTGAAAGTTGAAAGCATATGGTAGGTTATTACATGGTGTTATATGATAAACAGTAGCACTGCTGCTGCTGCTAGTCCCCTTAAAGGGCCACACCCCTATTAGTAAAGGTACTGTACTGCAGAGAGCAGGCCCTGCGCCAGGCAGCCCACTCAACATTTCCATTTCATTGCAGTCAACCGGGCTGACAGGAAGGGGGAGGAGTTGCTCATGCCCTTAAAACTAAAAAAAGAAAAGATGCAGCCCCTTTGTGCTTTAGGCCAGAGAAACTATGATCACTTTTCTACCCATAAAAAAAATAAATCCAGCTTGAAGGACCACGAGATCTAGGCGTCTGACTACTGACAAAGCTTTGGTTTGAGACTGCTTATATGAGGGACAGTCAGCAGATTCTCTTTGTCCTCCACAGGAGAAGGCTGCTGATGACTCACTCCATAATTATGCCAGACTATAAACGTCTGTGTTTTTTTTTTTTTTTTTCCAGAGTCACCGAGGCTTTGAGCCAAGCTCTGCCTTCGGCTTCAGATTCTTTCCCTGGAAGAACTGAACTAAACTCTTAACAACATTATTTCATTGCAGTATTGTTCACACAGAGCACAGATCTCTACATAGTGTTGATGATAAAAACCTGTTTCTACATGTATGTAGTAACATGTATGTAGGAACCGCATGTCAGTAACCAAACAACTTATCAGCCTAACAGCTGAGAAGGCTCTACCCTTCTCAGCTGCCACTGTCATTCTTTTATTATTTCCTTTGGCAGCTGAAGATTTGAGAAATAGTTTTGTTATCTAACTGACAAATCCCCATGTTTTTATTTACCACAGCAGAAAGCAGCTGTTTACAAATATGGATAGCTTTTTTTTTCACATGTAAATCCTCCTCCTACCATGTGCTCATTTTCCCATCCAGGTGCTGCAGCAGGTGTGGCCCTTTGTCGGCCAGTACCTGGAGAAGCTGCTGATAGAAACGATCGCTCCCTCTATCAGAGCCTCAAGCGCTCACCTCCAGACCCTCAACTTCACCAAAGTGGACATGGGAGACAAGGTGACGGCATTGAGAGAATACAGTGAAGGGTTGAAAACCATAAACTTTAATGTGATGGATTAACAAAAAGCAGCAGACAGATGGAATTAACCTTCCATCTGTCTGCTGCTTTTTAGAGACATAGTTTTTACAGAGAAGTGAGAAAATTCTGACCCGCATTTGAGTAAATACTTTGCTTTCATAAGTAGATGTGCGTAAATAAGTGTTAACTACCTGCAAAATCCTGAGTCTAATAAAATACTACCATTGAACATCACCCTGAGAACACCAGTATCACACTGAAATATGGTGGTGGCACCATCATGCTAGGGGTATGACCCTAAACATACAGCTGAATGGGTTAGAATTAAAGCATGTTTAAAATGTGTTAAATTGGTCTAAATCAAATTAAAGATTCTTGTGATATTGATGCTAGGTGATGCTTTCCTTATTCATATTCTGTCCTTTTTTTTGCTTCAGCCCATGAAGGTGGTGGGCATCAAGGCGCACACAGAGAATGACAAAGGTCAAGTTCTGCTTGACCTCTACATCAGGTGTCTGCCTCTGTTTTTATATATTTCCCACGTCCCAGTAACTTTTAGCCGGGCGTTACTGTAACTAACACCTCTGCTCCCTTCTCCTCAGTTATGTAGGAAATGTGGAGATCAATGTTGAGGTGAAAAGATATTTCTGCAAAGCGGGAGTGAAAGGAATACAGGTGTGTTCTTGTGTCCAGCCTTCAGATACATGTCTGCTTCTTTAACAACATGCCACCTAAGGTTTCCAACTAAACCTCTTTTCAACCTTTTTTTTGTTTCTCCACTGTTAGCTACATGGGATGATGCGAGTGATTCTGGAGCCACTGATTGGAGATGTCCCCATAGTGGGCGCCGTCACCATGTTTTTCATCCGTCGACCTGTAGGTCTATTTAAGTCACTTCTATTTGTCCTTTTAATGCTGCTTTATAACCTTTCTTTGATGTGACTATCACGTGTCCCTCTGTAGTCTTATCTTGCTATTGATTCTCTGTCAGTTCCCATTGATTTTCCCTAAGGTCAGTGTTCTCATTTCTTCCCAGAAACTAGACATCAACTGGACTGGACTGACCAATTTATTGGACATTCCTGGACTCAAGTAAGTCATGCTGAGATGGGCTTTCTTAGATTTCACTCAGTTGCAATGACTCCTGCTTTTTTTTTTCTAAACCTAAGTGAATAAAATAAAAATAAAACACTGTCATTTGTTACAGTGTTATGTCAGACAGCATGATCATGGACGCCATAGCTTCGTTCTTGGTGCTGCCAAACCGTCTAGTTGTCCCTCTGGTCCCTGGTTTGCACGTGGCTCAGCTGCGCTGTCCCCTACCCAGGGTGAGGCTGCAATACCTGCATGGTTTACATTAGATTACTGCCTACGAATAATTGAGTTAGTTGATTCTGTTTTTCACATCTGTTCTCTTTCTCAGGGAGTGGTGCGCATCCATCTGCTGGAGGCGCAGAATCTTGCAGCCAAAGACAACTATGTGAAAGGTGTCATGGCTGGCTTATCTGACCCATATGCCATATTAAGGGTGGGTCCTCAGACCTTTACCTCCAAACACATCGATAACACCGACTCTCCTAAGTGGGGAGAGATGTATGAGGTGAGGAATAGCAGATATGTTCTCAAAAGGCTTAAAATGTATGTAATACATTTACATCATTGAATAGAGAAGAGATCAGGACCTTCCTGAAGCTTTGATATATTTCAGAACCAGTTCTGAGGTGTGTCATTGATCCTTATTCTTTTAGAAGACCTTAAATAACAAATGTTCACAATTTAGCTCTTTAATTGAAATAGAACTGAAAAGATCCAGTTCTTTTGGCTGGAGTGAATGTATTACTAAACGTTATGTAGAAATTGGCTTTAATCAAATACCACGGTTAAAATATACGTATAGTTGATACTTGTGTTGATATGTAAAGCTATAGTCTGTAAATTTCTATTTAAAAAACAGAAAGGTGGGATTTCAAATCCCACTTTATTCCCCCTTTCCCTGCTAAAGGAGCTGAACTTAGTGCTTACTATAATTGTGTTTGCATGCAGTGCAGCATCATCATATATACACTGACCCTCAAAAAAACCCAACAGGCAAGTTAACGGTCTACTATTTTGCCTACAATACTTACAATCTATTATATTTTTCTAGCTATAGATCATAGAAGTGTAATAAATTATCACAGATTACCTACTTTAGAAAAGAGAACATGTTCAAGTCCAGTTCTGCACTTTTTTGTTTCCTCATTTTTGAATCATATAATTTTATTTCCACGGTATGTAGTCATGTTCTCCACAATCCTGCTAATGTTCTGGTTATTTGACTCATTATATGAAGCAGAAACGTATCTAAAAGGTGCAGGACGCCAAAACCTGAGAACTTGGATTGAGGGACTCTGGTCTAAATTAAGCATTTCTTACAATATTTTAATTATTTATTTATTTTTTTTAATGAAAGGCTTTAGCTCTGAAGTACATTCATTTTGTAAATTTCAATCCGGGATTAGGGTGCAGATTTTGTCCATTGTAAACTTCTTTTAATTTGGACATTGATACAGGCGGTAGACTGGATGTTCTTGAATATTGCAGCCAATTTCCTTTAGTGTAAGGCTCAGAGTTTGGGTCAGATGGTTGACAAACAGCTAGGTGCTCTAGCAGGACTGGAATGCATAAAGCAGCATCATTGTATCCATTATGAATTATTTCCCCAAGCCTCGACCTTAACCCTGTTCATGCCTTAAAATAAAGTTTGTATAGTTGTGACCACAGCTGTATACAACTGAAGAACTTTCTCTATTTCATCAGTTTATAGAGGTTCATTTCACTTAGAGGGATCAGACTCATATTGTGTTGAAAAGTTTTCATTCATACATCACAAAGACAGCACCCATACGAATCCCTCTGTCAGTCCTCATGCCATTATGTGTGTGTTGTACGTAAGGTTATTGTCCATGAAGTGCCGGGTCAGGAGCTGGAGGTGGAGGTTTATGACAAAGACACAGACAAGGATGATTTCTTGGGAAGGTACATGTGCATAATTCATGTCTTTGTATTTATCATATTCACTTCTCACCCTTCATTGGTCGCCTATTGCAAACAGTAGGAAAAAAAAATCCCTATATGCTAGCTTGTTGGTTATTAACAGTAATGAATTGTTTTCCATACTGTGTTGCAACTTATTTCTCTGCAGGACTAAATTAGATTTGGGCATTGTGAAGAGATCCATCGCTGTTGATGATGTAAGTCTGCAGCTTTTATCGCTTTAATTAAATTGTCTTGAAGCAGCTTTTTATGTGTTTAGGCTATAAACTAAAATACGAGTGCATTTGTTTTTCCAGTGGTTCACACTGAAAGAGACGACATCTGGACGTGTTCATTTCAAACTGGAGTGGTTGGCCTTGCAGCCAAACACTGAACAACTTGAGCAGGTTGGAGGCTTTATGTTCTGTTTAAATATAACTTTGTTAAATGATAAACAAATAAAGATAAGTAAGTATTTCCTTTTACATGTGTCTGGATTTCCTCCAGGTCCTGAAAAGGAATGAAAGCGTCACCAGCAAGAACTCGCACCCCCCCTCCTCAGCTATCTTGGTTGTGTATCTTGACAAAGCTGAGGCACTTCCCGTGAGTCAAATATCTCTGCCCTCTGCCCGCATTCGTGCCTAGCTCAGTGCTGCTTCCTGTGTGGTTAAACTGGGGCAGAGCTGGAGCTGCTGCCTGTCTCACATATTCCACATCTTTGTTGAGTTGCTCTCCAGCCGCTCTGTTGGTTGTGGAAAAATGCCCCCAACTTAAGTCTGCTTGACTCCCATTTTCAGCTTGGGTTAATATTTGGTAACATAAGCAAAGAAGACTGGAATGAGAGTCATATCTAATGTTTGTTGTGTGGTTGAGGGGGTTGCATTAAGCACAGTTCCTTTTTTTTACTTTAGAGTGTGACTCCTTGCTGTAACCATGGTAGCCTCAAACACACAGCCATAACATAACCACGTTTTCTGAGCTACGGACTGTAGGTGCATCTCATTATTCATTAAATACAGAGTAATGCATTCAAAATAATTGGGATTTTTTATATGATGGTTTAATAAAATTTATGAGGACCATTAAAAACATGTTTTTAATGCAAAAATTCAAATCTATTGAAACCTTTGTCCATATAATGACCACTTTACACCCTCATATGTTTGATGCATCTGCTGAGGTATAAAGAAAGCACAGGTTGCTATGATAGCAGCATCAAGCTCACCTGCATTGTTGGGTATTGTGATGCTCATCTTCCTCTTGGGAAATCTACAGATTATGTCCTTGAGGTTGTTATAGCTATGGCTGGGCAATTAATTGCTTTTTCAATATAATCACAATTTAGAAAAATACAATAATCACAAAGGACACTCATTTGTTGTAATATTACATTTAACAAGAGTAAGAGACTAACTTTAGCCCTTTAGATCGAGGTAATACACTTAAAGTGGGTTAATAAAATGCTGGAAAAAAAACAAAGTGGCTTTGCCATCACACAGAAGGAAATGAGAGAGTTGCAGCTAGCATGCAGATCCATGCACGATAGCAGAAGTTAGAGCTTTTTCACTCAAAGGATACAGTACAGTCCTGAAACAATGGACTCAAAACAAGTCAGCTTTAAAGCCATTAAAACTAAAACCATGGAGGGTAACATTTACATGCTGGTACTTAGTACAATGAAAAGTTGCAATCACAACATTAGTTGCAAATAATTACAGTTTTGATTTTTGGCAAAAATTGTTCAGCTCTAGTTGTACCCTTGGTATGTCTCAGTGTAACTCCAGCTGCATTCTGCACCTTGTTATTATCTCAAATCCTTAAGTGGACAGTTCTTCCCAGTTCCCTGGAGGCTGTGGTTATCTCTGTTCCTTGTGTCCTGTTTCTACCACCCTCCATAACCAGCCAGTGTCCTTATAAATTACTTTTTGAGGCTGATGCTTGTTGTGGAGGATGACAGTGACTGTCAACAGTATCATTTGTTTACTGGGTTAGTCATAGCAAAACTTATACTTCAAATCTGAAACATTTTAAATTACTGAGTTACTGAATTTGGGTTTTATTGGATGCAAAATGTCCATCCATCCATCCATCCATCCATCCATCCATCCATCCATCCATCCATCCATCCATCCATCCATCCATCCATCCATCCATCCATCCATCCATCCATCCATCCATCCATCCATCCATCCATCCATCCATCCATCCATCCAATCTCCAGCTGTGGCTGTGAGTTTTGATAATCAAAATGACCATAATCAAAAACTTGTCAACATGTAACTCTGTAATGTTTCCTTGAAATATATGTGTGTATATTTTTTATTTAGTCAACAAAAAAAAATTAACTCATTTATCTTTTAATTTAGTAAGATCCATCCATATATTTTTTATTGTTGCACTTAAAATGTCTGTCAGACCTCACAATGTATTCTTATTTTGTCTGAAATTTAGATGAAGAAGGGAAATAAGGAGCCCAATCCCATGGTGCAGGTATCCGTGCAGGGAACCACTAAAGACAGCAAGGTGAAAATGCTGTGAGAACTGATGGAACTGTGGCTTTTCTTCTACTTTCTGTTGTTATTTATTTATCATTGATTTATTCTTTAAGATTTGTTACACAACTATCAACCCAGAATGGGAGGAAGCTTTTACCTTTTTCATCCAAGATCCTCGCACGCAAGAAATAAACATTCAGGTAACAGCCATCAAGATTTGAAACAAAGCATAGATGATTCAGTACACCTTAAAAGATCATAAACCTGAAATTGCTTCCTATAATCAGGTGAAGGATGCTGACCGCGTGCAGACTCTGGGCAAAGTGACCATCCCTCTCTCCCATGTCCTGAAGACATCCCATCTTTCTCTAGACCAGTGGTTCCAGTTGGAAGACTCTGGAACTGCTAGTCGCATCTATATCAATTCAGTTCTCAGGGTGAATAAGAGCAAAGTTTTTCTTTTTTTCTACTGTTAATTCTACAAATCAAATAATCAGAAGTTCATTTATATTTTTGGTCTTTCTTCTTCCAACACAGGTCTTGTGGTTGGATGAGGATCGTATTTCAGCTGAAGTCTCTTCTAATTTGGCTGCTGGAGTTTCTAAACAGTTGCCCATGCAGGCCTCCCCTCATCCCAGCTTTGCTACAGAGGTATTAAAATACAATGTCACTAAATCTATTTCAATAGCTGCTGCTAAGGTTAGTGTACGTCTTCAACCATGTTTTTGTTTTCAGGGGCTGCTTAGAATCCACCTCCTGGCGGGTCAGAATCTCATTCCGAAAGACAACCTGATGGGTGGAATGGTGAAAGGAAAGAGTGACCCGTATGTCAAGATTAACATTGGGGGTGAAACATTCACAAGTCAAGTTATAAAGGGAAATCTGAATCCAACCTGGAATGAGATGTATGAGGTAGATATCTGGCACCTGCTAATGTCTTGAGTCAGAATACATTTTTTGTTTTTGCTTGCCATTCCCGATCTATTTGCTTGTGATTGTCATGTATGTGCAAAAAAAAACTTGTTTCTGCAGTTTTAAATGGTCTATTGATGTTGGAAGCAGTCCCCACCTCCATACCATTATGTTGAAGGGAGTCACCCTAACGTTCATCTGGCAGTGACAGATAACCCATCATTCGTGGTTTTACTTTTCATTTTAATTTATTTCTGAAAATGCATGACCCCCAAACCCACAAAGTTTTATCAATAATTTCTCACCTTTTTAAAAGTAGAAATCAGATTTGACAAATGTATCTACAGTCATCAGTGTATGGAGCAGTTAGTTATACGTTAATTAATTTAAAACTCTTAACACAGACATCTGTCCAGTGGTTTAAAAGCACAGCAAACGTTACAAGTCAGATAACAGCGTACAAAGAGAGGCCAAAATAGTTTGGAAATGTTTTATTAGTTTTTATTTTCATCTAGGTTTGACTTTTGAGATATTTTTTATTTCAGGTTTCATTTGTTTTTTTGGTATTTGTTGGCTAGTTAAGTTTAGTCTTTTTTTTTTTTTTTTGGAAAATGCTTAGTTTTTGTTTAGTTTCTATTAGTTTACATAATAGTGGGGAGTGGCAGCCTAGTTGTTAGACCATAGAGCTTGGATTCCTGAGGTTCTGAGTTCGAGCCCCACTCCCACAGACTGCCACTCTGGGTCCCTGAGCAAAGAACCTTAACCCCACGCTGCTCACGGGCGCCGCAAGATAAATTAAGAAGTTTTCCTGGAGGCAAAACAGACATAGAATCAAAGGAAATATATAACCGAAAGGGTATAAGTAGTTGAGCTTCGACAGGGACTTTTTGGTGGATATTTCAAAAAGCTTTACTCTGTATGTAGACTTGATAAGTGGAATCTGGGTAGGACATCTCAGCTGCTAATTATTCATTTCAAATGGTGACTGGAGTTTGCTAATTCCTTTTTTTAATGGAGTTTTTTTAATGTCGCCTGAAGCAATATGACTTCTGTGCTTTGCAGGTTATTCTGACAGAGCTCGCTGGTCAGGAGCTGCATGTGGAGATGTTTGACAAAGACATGGACATGAAAGATGACTTCATGGGAAGGTAACTTTGCATCTTTTTATCAAATTGTATGACAAATCGTTTTTTAAATGATCACTTTAAACATTCTGTTTCATGAATTGCAGGCTGAAGATAAGTCTGAAGGATATCATCGACTCTCAGTACACAGACCAGGTAGAAGTTTAATTAGAATTTGAAAAGCAAAACATCAGAAACTAATAAAAAAAAGTGGTTTATCCATATGCTTTACTCAAGTGTTGATATTTACTTTTGCGAAAAGTCGAGCATATTATTCCATAAATTAATATAATAATTAAGGAGTTTGCTTGAAGCAGACCCAGTTGTTCCCATATTGAAGTAATGTGTTTTTATTTGTCAGTGGTACACGCTGAACGATGTGAAGTCTGGTAGAGTTCACATGGTCCTGGAATGGGTTCCAACATCTTCAGAACCAGACGGGCTAGACCAGGTGAGTACGTGCTAAAATTGACTGAATCGTTAAAATTCACCTAGTCTGAGTTTTCTTTAAATAAAGAAAATACTTAATTACCTCTTTTAATATTTTCTGTGGCTTCAGGTCCTTCAGTTCCACTCTAGACAGTCCTATCAAAACAAGGCAGTGCCCTCAGCAGGGCTCCTGTTTGTGTATGTCGAACAAGCAGATGGCCTACCAGTGAGTCCTTTTATACCATTACGTTGGATGATAGATAAAATACTCTGTTAGTTTAGGATCTCCCTTAAAATATGGTTTCCTCTTGTTGTCTTTAGGTAAAGAAGAGTGGAAAGGATCCAAAAGTAGGAGTGGAGTTAAGTCTTCGTGAAATGTCACGCAAAACTACAGTAAGATCCTAAACTCCACTAATATTGTTTGTGCCTGTTGGCCCAATGCTTTATTTGTTGGTCAGTTCTTGCTGATTTTCCATCTGTTCTGAAGGTATGCGATCGTACAACCTCTCCTAAATGGAACGAGGCATTCTACTTCCCTGTTCGTGATCCAAGACAGGATATTCTCATTCTCAAGGTAAGTAGTGGGACGTGTAGATTTTAAAGAGAGATTTGTCACAAGGCTCCTGAGGTAACATGAAACAATATGGTTTGTCTTTTTGTTCAGCTTTCCCACAGCTGGACACTGCCTATTGGTTCTCTGATTGTTCCTATCAGAGAGCTGCTGTCTGAACCAGATCTTGTCCTGGATCAGTGGTTCCATTTGGATGGAGCCTCGCCTGAGAGTCAAATCCTTTTAAGGACTGAACTTAAGGTAGGATCATCAAAACTCAAATTTTTTAGCAAGCATCTAAGATTGAATGATTTAAATATATAAAACTAATTTAAAATAACTTATGAGCTGTTTTAGATTATTTACCAACAATAACCTGATTTCAGATGGTCCTTGAATATTACAGACGTGGTGTAACGTCACAGCAGAAATAACTTGATCATGATCATGTAGCATACATACTGAGGCTTATTTAGACTTTCTTAAGCTCTAGTTTCTTGGTTTGTTTTGTTTTTCTTATCATGCTCATGTTAATCAAACCATTGTTTATTTTCACTGAACTAATTACAGGTGTTGGTTCCTACCAAATGCCCCGTTCCTACTGAAAAGGCTAAGATGTCTGAAGTGTTAGACCCTGCTCCAGCCAAGCCCCTACCAGAAACAGACACAATCCTCAAGTGAGATAGTTCAGAAAAGTCTATTTCCACTTATTCTACCTGAGAATCTCTTCAATTGAATCATATCTTGATGGTGCTTCTGTTTTAGGTCAGCCTCTGTGGAAACTCCTCCTGTGGAAACCATTGTGCCCACATTGCCTTTGGATGAGGAGGTTCATAAAGTAAAGGAAACTGCATTGGAGGAAGATCAAGAGGAAGAATTAGAGAGCCCAACTGTATCACTACCTCCTCACTCATCCCCAGACCTCACCTTTGCCAGTGAGGTAATAAATACAGAGCTTAACCATAGCTTGTATCATTTAATTTAAGCTCTGGGGCATTACGAGCTTTTTAAATCTAAATAAATACACATTTATGTTTTCCATCCTTATAGGGACTACTTAGACTCATCCTTTTGGAGGCTCAGAGTCTGGTTGCCAAAGATACCATAATGGGTGGTCTGAAGAAAGGCAAAAGTGACCCCTACGCAAAGATCAGCATAGGTCAGGCCACGTTTAAGAGCGCTGTGGTAAAGGAAAACCTCAACCCAGTCTGGAATGAGATGTATGAGGTCTGTGATTTACAGCGACACACCTTTTGACTTTATAGCATCTGTAGAACTTCTTTAAACAGCTTTGTGTTTGACCAGGTGGTTCTGAGACCTCAGCCAGGGCAGGTGGTTCAGGTGGAACTGTTTGACAAAGATATGGACAACGATGACTTCTTGGGCCGGTAAGGCTGCTTCGTTTTTATGTTGACATAATGTGGTGACAAAGGAATAAAGAACCTTTGCAAATTTTGAAAAATCTATATTTTTAATAAAAGTTTTTTTTTAATACATATTCTGTTGATTTCTTGTGCATCCCTAAAAAAAATATCTCCTCCAATTCCTTAATAATAGACAGTCTATCAGTCTAAGTAGAGATGCACTAATCCGATATTAATATCTTTATCTGCTAGCTATTGGAAAATGTGTCCAATTTGTAGGGGTAAATGTATTTAGTCTATTTTCCTTGGTTGTAAATCGGAGTTTATGAAAGCTTCTAAAATGTCATCAGTAATGATGATAATAACATTAAAGTAAACGCAGCCCTGGTTAGGAAAAGTATTGGAATCTGCACTAAATATGTGGATTGGTGAATTCCTAAAATCTGACTTCATTTAGCAAATGTCTGTATTCATGTTGCTACGTTCTGTTCCTTCTCAACAGCTTAAAGATCAATCTCTCAGACATCATCCGTTCTCAACTCATAGATCAGGTTGGTATTTCTCTTGCTAGTGCAGTGTTGATAAATCTTCCTAGATGGCTAATGTATGAATTAATAAATAATGTCTGTAAATCGATATTTTTGTCTCAGTGGTACAGCCTGAATGATGTAAAGTCCGGTCGCCTTCGTCTTATACTGGAGTGGGTGCCAACCGTGTCCAGTAATGACAGGCTGGAACAGGTTAGTATATTATTATTATTTTTTTCTCTAATTCCAATCCTATATGTTAATTACATTTTTTGATTCTCTTAAGTTAAATGCAGTCAGTGGACTAAAAATCTTTTGCTGATTAGCTCTGGTTAATGTTTGGTAGCTCTGAAAAATTTTCTGCATTTTATTAGTTGACAGAGCATGTTTGATTCATTTCCATGGGTTTAATTAAAATGCTTATTGAAGGAGGGGGTCATAAGCTCTGATGCAGACATGGGGATAATCCTCTAATTCCATGTTTTCCCAATCTATGTTTTTGTAATAACTAGTTGGTTAGATGTTACAGAAAAGCTCAAACTGTTATCTGTGTATGGTATGTCAGGAAAAACCCTAGCTGCTCCATCTTTAGTTGTATATCTGATTCCCAGTTTCTCTGCGTTGTGCTTCTCTCTGAGTGCTGAGTCACTGTGATGAGTTTTTGATCTGATTCCAGGTGATGCAGCTGCAGTCTCTCCAGCCCTACCAAAACAAGACTGTTCCCTCTGCAGCCCTGCTCTTTGTTTACATGGACAGAGCTCACTTATTGCCTGTGAGTGGTCTCCAGTTTAGTATCCTGAAACATACAAGTTTGTTATTTGGAATTAGATGGATAAGAGGTCTAAAGTGCATGCACTCATTTAGTCATACATAGAAATGCTCCCAGAAGGGAACTACTGATTAAAGAGCAGTTTTGAGGTTTTTGTGTTGGATCTGCAGCCATAATTACTGGAAGGGATACAAGGTTTTATAATGTTGGGATGTGTTTTGCTGTGTGCAGTTTAAGAAGAGTGGTAAGGAACCAAAAGCTGGAGCTGAACTTGTATTTGGGAGCACAACTCACAGAACCAAGGTATGATACTGAAAACAAAATAATTAAATGATCTACAAAGTCTACATGGGTTTATCTGCATTATATACTTTTTAGCTACTTATTTTATTTGTACCACTTCATCACAGCTGTGTAATGGTGATGATAACTAAATAAAAGCAAATATTCTGAACATACAAAGCGGTTGTTCTCACCAAAAACCCCACCAGACTTGATAGGAATAAGTAGTAGAAGGATAAAATGTAAATTGTTACTCAAGAACAATGTATTTATACCATCTCCTTATCATCTTTTATCTCTGCTTTACTGTCGGCAGGTTTGTGATCGCTCCAGATCTCCACAATGGAGTGAAGCGTTCCACTTCCAAGTCCATGACCCAAATGAAGAGATGCTCATAGTGAAGGTACTGTACTTGTCCTGAATGCTTCACAAAACCACTGAGGTGTCTGCTCCTGTCAAATAGTGACGTTAATGTGTCCTGTGTTCTGAAGTTATCCAGTGCATGGGATCAGCCGATGGGATCCCTGGTGCTCCCTGTGAGGCAGCTCCTCTCTGAGCCTCAGCTGCTCCTGGACCAGTGGATGCCTCTGGATGGAGCCTTACCTGAAAGCAAGATCCTCCTCAGAGCAGAGCTGAAGGTAGGACAACATTTACATGCTCAGATTATCTCCTTTCAACTGACAACAGAGACACTAAGTGGAAATTTGTTGTTGGAAGATTCTTGACACACGGCTGACAGAAGTTCCACAGACATCTGCAGCTGTTTCAGAAGAAGAAAGTAAAACTGCTGCTGCTGAAAAGATGCTGGAAACAGCTGAAGAGGAGGAAAAAAGACAAAACTTGGCAACAGATGAGTGAGTTATCCATACATTATGTGCCTTAAATAATGAACAATTTAAACTTTATACTGTAGTGAAAATTAGACATCTTGTTAAATATTATATTCCAATAGTTTTACTGATGACTGACTTTTATGTTCACTGTGTTTTCAGTTCCCCTGTTGTGTCGGTCCATCCTGCACACCCTGAAGCCAAGCATGATACATCCCATTCTCCTGCTGTACGTCACATAGCTTACAGGCAGAAATAACTCTGTCCTCATTGTCTGTTCAAACTGTTGTAACCAATATACTGTTCTATTAGAGGGTGGAGGAGCCAGCACCTGCACAAGAGGCTCCAACTGAATCACTCATTAAGGTTGAAAGAGACATGAAGCCACAGCCAGAGTGAGTGAATCAAATAATCCCTTTTCACCATTTTACCACAACAAATTCATTTTGGAAAAAAATAGCTATAAAACAGCACAGTAAGCAATGTTTTCTGGATGTCAATGTGTGCAGGACAGGTTTAGGAGGTCTTGCAAAGGCTACAGTGACAGGTATACCCACTGATCCAGCACCCTCGGTAGAGGTCGTAGACGTTCCCAAAGTGGGTCCAAAACTTCCTCCACATACGGTGCCGAGTCAAGACTTTGGTAAAGAGGTACGTTTTCAAATAAAGTCTAAAGTGTAACAACTGGCTTCCAACAGCCAGCATTGTTTCTTTTTTAAGTATTTGTGTTTTTGGCAACGTCCACAAACAGTCACATGCTGCTAGAAGAGCAGGAATTCAAGTGCAGAGGATAAAAAAAAAAATTGAAATGAAGTACTGATGTGTTTTTAACTTTCTAATTATAAATCTGTTTTGTTTTTCAATGCAAGACCCCCCAGCAGATTCCCATTGTCAATTTGCAGCGTGATGATAGTCTAATTAATTAGTACTAAAATAATAACGCAGTAGAAAATAGTTTCGTGGTTGCAATTAAAAGTGTGTTTGCTTATTGTTCTGACAAAACATTAGGATAATCAAACTAA